AGCTGAAGGTTGAATATAGCCATCGGAAGAAGAAGAAGAAGAAGAAGAAGAAGAAGAAATCAACAGTGTAAAGCGACACCGATTTGGAGCAAGTTCGGCGACAGAAAGAGAAGACTTTCTACTTAAGGTTTTCGCACCCGACAATGGCGAGCGCCTGAAATCGCTGAGCCGATCGACTCTTACTCTTCTTCTCCGGTTCTTCCGCTTCTGCTTCTTCCTCGGGTCCCCGGGATTGAGAAATTCTTGGTACTGTGTCCGAAACAAGCATTTCATTTAATTCAATATATTAACACTACACATTTTCTTTTCTTTTTTTTTTCTTTTTTTTTTTTGCCATCTTGTTTCTAAATATGTTGTAATGATGGAATCATCGATCTTACCCTTTCTCCTTTGCATTTAAATTGTTTAATTATCTCATGACGTATAAAATATTTATTTTATATTAAAAAAACTCTTAATCCAATAAGATGTAATTATTCAATTATAATATAATTTAAAAAATCAATTAGAGGTGATTTTTTATTTAAGTTAATCAAATTAGGATGAAACCAGAACGAACATAATCCCACAACGTCCATTTCTAGTCATCACTCAGCTTTAAATTTAAAATCCATTCCTTCAATTTTAAACGTTTTATAATCATAAATGAATTATAATGACAAATGAATTATATGAGTCGATGATATATACATATATATATATATATATGCCCAGGTCGGTTAAAAGACGCCATCCCAACTAGAGGGTTCGCTTAAAGGACAAGCATCACCTCGATTACACGTCCGTGAAGCAAACTCATTATCAATTCCATATTCTCGGATGCTGATTTCTGAAGCATTCCTTGTATTGTATAAAAAATAAATAAATATTCAGAATCAAACAGAAGAAAAGAAGGATATTTTTATTTCAAGAACATCCGCTTGTCTCGATCTGGCATGATTGTTAAGATACACAAAGGCCTACACTGATCAACTGTCATAACTGATTATCCGAGGGACCAAACACTCCTGCTACTAACTATGACACGCATATATGTGTATATATATAGCTCCTTTCATGACGAAGAAGAAGAAGAGGAAGATGTGAGAGAATTAGAGAGACAAAACTGAAAACTTACAGCTCCTCCTGAGGTGGTTGGGGTTCGGAGGGGGGTTTCTCGTTGGACTGTCTCGCAGAGATGACCTTGTCTAGGGTTTCGCCATGGACGGTGATCCCCGTCGTTTCCATGTCTGCAACTATGGCCAGGGCTGCATCCAGTTCTCCAAGATCAAGGCACAATGATATGATCTCGTCATACAGTGGGCTGCCATTGAAAAGATCAAATGATTAAGAGGGCACACCATCTTTGTTCAATTCGGTAAACTTGACTCAGATGAAGGCTTTTTTTTTCGAGGTTCTGTTCTTTTTTTCGATCTAAGACAAGTGTTTAGCCCAAAAGCTGCATCTTCTGAGCCATTTTCCACATGTTACAGGGCAAACTTAAGAGAGAGCTAAATAGAGAATGTCGGGCATTACCTGCCAAAAGAGTAGCCGAGACTGTGTGTGTTCTGCAAGATCTTCAAGAAAGCTGAAGGCATCGGAGCCCTTATCGCAGAACGTAAGATCATCGCACAATCACCGATGGTAGGTATTCCACCCAATTCAATCACCTAAACATATTCATCAAAAGTTTTAAGTCACGTCAACATAAAGTACCGGAAGGAATGTATAAATGCGAGAGACTTGAGGAGTATTATTGCCTTTGTCATGAGTTCCATTGCTAACTCGACTTCCCATTCTTGTGACCATTTCCGAGGAGCTTTGTTCTTTAGGTCTTTCTCCCATGTCCAACCCCAAACATCTGCTATCGTGTACATGTCAGAGACATCAAATACTTTCCTTTCCCTCATTTCTTTGAAAGCTTCAAATGGATCCTCCGGGAACCAATCCTCGTCATCATCATTCTGATAAGAGGAATAAGGTGAAGAAGTTATATTACCATAAGCTGATAAGCGCCATGAACAAAGATGACAATTGTTATCAACTCGAGACATTTGACTAAATGAAACATATACACACCTCGACTACTCGAGTTGTCCTCCTCCCCCGTTTCTTTGTTGAGCTTGCTTCATCGGAATCTTTCAAGAGCTGGACCCCAATCATCTGAAGGGGCTTCTTAGCTTCGGCTTCTTTATTCTTGATCACCTCGTCTCCTTCTGTTCGGGTCTCAGTTTGTTCAACCTCCTCCTCCTCCCCCTCTTCCTCCTCTTCATCCTCATCCTCATCCTCCTCCCCCTCATCATCGTCAGCTTCAGCATCTTCAGCAACAACCTCTGTCACGTTCGCATGCTCTAACTCATCCGTAGCTACAGATTCAACTGTCTCTTTTGGTTCAGCTGAAGGTTGAATATAGCCTTCTCCGAGAAACCGCCGCTTCCAAAATTCTGTGTTTCCTTCTTCCAGCTTAATCCGAGATATCAATGCATCCAGTTCTTCATCAATCTACATCACAATCAACTTTATCATATATGTCATTTAATAATAAGATGCCACGTCAGGAACATCCTTTAACCAACCGTAGCTGTTTTCCCAGCTCATGTACTCCAGACGTGCTAGCTAAGCTGACCAAAAGAAATAACATAAAGCATAAATCTAATATAATCAATCCAAAAGTTCACCTCCTCTTCTTCTTCTTCAACAGGAGGAACCCAAAGAGGTCGGCCGCGAGATTTGTTGATTCTCCTTGCTTTTTGAACACGCTGGTAAAGAACATTTCTTGTACCATCAATTGGTAAACCCTGGGCTTCTAATTCTTCCTTTAACTCTGATACAATCATCTTGCTTGCAGCTTTGGGCTTCAAAACGTTCTGTTCAGGACCTTTTATTATTTTCCGTAATCTCTCCACTACTCTCAGGTAATCAGATTCTGTAGCATCTCCTAAGACTATAGGACCTTCATTCAGTAAGGTTCTTAAGAGCTTCCTATGGTGAATTCTTGATTCTTCAAGGCATCTCTGTTTGAACGATGTCTCCATAGGATTTGAGTATATAAATCCAGAAGCATCTGGATCTAAGGGGGTTTTTCCTCTGCGAGGCACCCAACGTTTGCGTTCACCAGTAAGTCCTCCTTCTGCTATGTACCTGTTTATGTATAAGGATGGTCAGTCTTCATAAACTCAAGATGGTGATATCTAAAAGGCGTCACAATTTCTTTCAGGCCTGTCAGAATGAAGCAACAAAATTGACCTGGAATATTTACGATATAGAAGAATACGATGTGATAAAACAAAATTAAAATCAACCCACACAATCCTCTAATTTTTTACCTTGCTACGTAATCAATCTCATAACCAAGTTCAGCTTCTTCTTGCAATGGTTCAATCCATGAGCTGACTAGTGTCCGATATTTCCTGCTCAAGATCATGGCTCTTGGTGGTATAGGTTGGTTATCTTTGCGCATTGTGTCTAAAGCTTCTATCAGCTCAACAATTCTTCCTGGTTCAATTAATACACAGGTTTTTAAGTATACGAAAATTAAAGCATGACACAAGTACATGGACCAACAATCAAAAATGGCAGATCATAATCTACATCATGCACTTCCTAGAAAATTATGAGTACTAGTAAGTTTCATACTACACAGATGGGAGACTTCCAAACAATTCCAAATCCATGAACCACTGTTTCGTACAATAGGCTAGGCACATAGCGTACACATTTTTATGTCAAGATTATCACAGGTTGAGACATAATTTACCTTCTCGACATAAAGCCCGGAGATATAAAGAGAGAGGGTCACCAAAACTTCCCTCACAGTGTAAAACTTTTGTCCCTCCTTCAAAGTTTTTGAGACCACGAAAATGTCTAATCGCTTCCCTCACAACACAATACTTGGTAAAGCACTCCACTAAGAGCCTGAAATGGATCATTATATAGCTGATATTAGAAACACTCTACTAGGAGTAGATAGAAAAGAGCAAGAAATATGGGTAATGAATTACCAATATTTTCAAACATGGATCATCACCAACTATCAGATAGTTCTACTAGGACTTGTCATTGAGTGGTTATCTAAACAGATTCAAACGCAGCATGAGAGAATGATAGAAAGCAAGATTGCCATCAAAAGCTAGTTTCTCTGACAAGCAAAAGATATACAGCCTATAAAAATCACCAATCAATCAATGGGGATTTGACTCGTGTAGACAGCACCAAACATGAGGAAATAAAAACAAAACTTCTTACGCATAAGTCTTCACATTTGGCTGCAATCGTTTGTGGTCCTCAACCATCATACCAAGTAATTCAGCGACATCTTGAACCCTGTGATTCACATGTAAATGGGTCACCAAGAGTTTCTGCATCTTTTCCTGTGATAAATGTAACAAAACCAAGCACCACGAGAATTACCTATCATAAGACTCGGCCCTAGTATAGGCTTGGATCACCCAGTTATACGTCTCAGTATCAGGCTTCATAAAATCTGCAAATGGAGATAACAAGTCTAGCAATGTCCACAAGCAAAATTCAACCAGTAACCTAGATTAAAGATAAAGAAGAAAACTACTCCAGAATATTGCCAATGACGCAGAGAAAAGCAATAAAAGCATCAACAAGGCGAAGAAAACGCAAACCTTCTCCGTACTCCATATTCTCAAATGTTGAAAAAGCTATCTCGGGAATTCCACATGTAGCCTAGATAAGGAAACATAGAAAGTCTATTCGGTGTCAAACAACAAAAGCGACATTCTTGATTAGAGGTAATGGAACAGTACAGGTCCAATATGCACTCCAAGACAGAGAAACAACCTGAACACTAAGAAGACAATTGAAATGAAATGTTGTTGCCATTCTACCAGCCGCCTCCATTTCGTACGCAATGTCTAAGGCGTTTGAATGATCTCCAGCTTTGCAATCTTCCTCAATCATAAGATCATATATCCGATCAGTGGCCCTCAACCCAGCTCTGGCACCCTTCAAAAACACATTATTCGCATCTACCAAGTGGTTGGTCCTCATGAGCTCCTCTGTTCATAAGACAACAATCTACTTAGAAAAAGTACTCACAAACCCCAAGCATGGTAATTACAAACTTCAAAGTTTGATTTAACTAACAATCTTTGGCCAGGAATAATACCAACAAGAATTAGCCAAGCTTGACGGATATCATAGTTGAGCTTTTCCATAGCAGCAAGGATTTCTAAGCCTCGAGTAGCATTCCCTTTAGAGCCAAATAATCTAACCAAGGCAACCATCGTTTCAGGAAGAGGACGCACGCCTGCACATAGCTCCTTTCTCAGGGAGTGCATCTGCAAACACCCAGACAGAAGAAAAAAAAAAGTTTTCTTTTATCTCTAAGCACACATATAAACTGTAGAAAAACAAGAGTTGTTCCCATTCTGATGCTATCTCAAAACTTCAGATGAAAATTGCTAAAGAAAAACGATTGTATCAGAAGTTTCCAAATGGCTAAGCAAAGTCCATCCTAGCATTGCTCTGTGCAATACCCACAAATGAGTTTCCTAAAATATGCACGAAAATTTAAGACTGTAGCCATAGAACAGCGATTACCGCGCCTTCCTCGTCGCCGTTCAACGCGTGTGCCACGACCAGACCATGAAAGGATCGAGGTCCAGGACTGAGCCCAGCCGCGACCATGTCATAGATGACCTCCGACGCACCAACGGCGTCTCGGATCCTGGCTCGCTCCATGAGCTCATCCATAAATGTGAGGCGGAGACTCCTCTCCAATGCCGAGACAGCATCGCCAGCGGAAGAGGAGGAAAGGGAAGAATCGTCGTCACCTCTCTTCTTCTGCTTCCTCCTCCTCCTCGGCTTCTTCTCCGGCGCCGAGGTTGAGCACCGGAGGGGGAAAACTCCGGCGGACCGACGGCGGAGTGGCTGGTAGAAATTGGAGGGAAATGGAGCATTGAGGGAGGCGAGAGACATTTTGAGCACCCCCAAAAATGCAAAAATCTCGCTCTGGAAATGGATAAAGCGATTTGAAATTGGAATATGAAAATGAAAAATAACAAGATTATTATTTCCAAATTTTATTTTGATTTGGACCGACGATCCCGTGCGTATCACGTGACTAAAAACCTGACCCGAATCATCGCCATCTTATCTTGCGGATACACTTTTTTTTACCTTTCCAGTGTATGTTTGCTTTATGCATGTATCGATTAATGTGTGTGAATTTTTTACATATTATAATTTTATAGTTTCATATTATATAATTAGTTAAATTAACAATTCAGATAAAAATATATATAAATATATGTGATCCGAAATTATAGAAGAAAAATATAAAAAAATACAGGTATAAATTTTAAAATTTTAATATATAAATCTTAAATAGATATGTCATTATAATAATGTCTCATCTATTAATTTAAAAATCCGCAATTAAAAAAACAACTTATCAAATGTGTGTGTGTATAAGGTAATAAAGCTCATACCTTTTAATTCTTTTATGGAATCAAGAATAAATGGTAGATATAAAATACGAGATTCATGATAATAAACCATACTTAACCATTAATGAGAAACCACAGGATATTGAAAACACAAGGACATTAGACTCACAACACATATATATAGATGTATACATACACACATATGTATGTATGCATACATATTTATTCTCATAATGTTTTTTTTCTTATGGTTTTCATGGAAAGACTGGAGGGAGGTTACATGGTCTCCTTGAGCTGGTTGAACACAGGGGCGATCTTCTCGATGTTCAAGGGCTTCCCGAAACACTGGTTCAGCCCTGCTTCCATGAAAGCTTCCCTATGTTCCTCTTCATTGCCCAGTGACGTCACTCCCACGATCATTGACGTCACCCCCATGGCACGAAGCTCCTTGGTCGCCTGTTTCCATTTGATTCCCGAAAATTAAAAAACCATTAGACCGGTGGTTTTAGGCTTCGGTTAACCAGATCGCCGGTTTGGTACACATAAATGGTGGGTGAACGCTGTTTTAAAAATCGCACGGTTCCACATGCAATAAAACCAAACTAAACCGAATTTAAATTTCAATACAAACTTACCAAGTATCAAATCCATGCGAAATATATATGTTTTCAACATGGAAATATTAAAAATAGATATGAACAAAAAAAATATTGTTTTTTAATTAAAAACAATTAGAAAATGTTGACATGCAATTTAGTGTAGACGGAAACTCAACTGAACATTTTAGGCAAATTTTATGGGACGAACTTTTTTTTTCCCACAAACGGCCATTTTGATCAAATCCAGAAACATAAACAGGGTATATATATCCGGTTAAGAAAAATGGTCCGGTCCGGTTCAATGAGAAAACCAAATAAAATCGCTATCATACCGAAGGACCGTCCATGATGGGCATTTCCTTGTCCATGAGCACGAGGTTGAAAGAAGCTCCTGCACGGTGGATATTCACCGCCTCCTCGCCGTTCTCGGCCGTGACCGCCACTCCTCCAAACCTCCTGACGAGTGCCACGTGGATTTTCCGGCTGATCGGATCGTCGTCCACCACCAGCACCCGTACCTTTCCCTCGCCATCAACCACGCTCAACTTCTTCATCTCTGCTGATGCTGTCGTTGCCATCTCTTCAATCCTCCTTCAAAAAACAATAATTTGAACAAGCTCATATACCATATAGATATACATACGTGCTCCGCATGCATATATTCATATATATGTCTTTAGAACGGGACGTGTATATATATGCTTAGTTTGTGATGTCGTGTGGGTATGTTCTATGCATGTGTGGACTAATATGTGCGTATGTGTGTGTATATGTGTGCATTTATAGACATAAAACATAGATATTGAATGATATTTGTGTGAATATACATAGCTTATTGATTCTCCTCATATATAGAACATTTTTTTTTTGGGAGAATGGCTTACGATATGGAATTAGCGAAGAAAACTTATGATTCGATAGTTAAGAGTTTACTTCTAACCTGAAATATATAAGGAAAAAAAGTGAAAAGTAAAATCTCCCTCAAATAAATTTACTCAGATCGTAATCTGAACAGTTCTGTCGTTTTTTATATAAATTTTTTAAGATATTGATAAATTTAAAATAAATAAAATTAATTTGTAGTATAGAATATAGTTAATACAAATCATCTAAAACCCAATTTACAATACATATCATAGTTTATTTTTATACAATTTTGTAATAAAATAATCAATATAATAGAAAATAATCATAATTAGCAATATTTTAATAAATAATAAAAGAACTAAAAATACCATAAATATATTTTTACAAAAAAATATCATTTTTATATATTGTTATAAATATAAAAGTCAGTTTAAATACAATAAACTAAATTATTAAGTATTATTTAACTAAATGAGATATCTTTTTTGTGTTTACATATATTTGTTCAAAAACATTTCACTTTATTTACATGTGCTAGATATATAAAGCAATATTCTTATAGTGCATTTATAAAAGTATATCACCATATGCTTGAGTAAATCTAGGTAGGATTATATATAAATCAAAAAATTTAAAAGTTATCTTTTATTTCATAAATATATTCAGATCGAATCAGATATAGTACATTTACTCTAATTTATCACTGAGAAGTTTAAAAATTTTATATAATGTTTAATATCATTTCATCTTAATTGCTTTTTAATATAAATTTTTTGTTGAATCAAATTTTAAATTTTATATATCATCGAAATAAAAGAGTTCAATTAATTATTTATAAAATAGTTTTTTTTTTCTTTTGACAAATTTTGAGAATATATCTTTGGAAAAAATGTTCAATATCCCTTATATTGGAAAATTAGTTTCATGAAAAAGCATGTGATATGGTATAATGGTAGCATTACGAAATATATATACACAAATTTATATATATATATATACACATAAACCTACAAAGTGTTGTAGAACTTTAGAATAAGAATTTTTAGCAGAAAACTTTGTATTTATAACATTAAATTGAATTATTTTCCACTAGAAATTTTTTAAATGTAAATTTCAGTAAAGGATATATGATTCTTTCCGTACTCTTTGATTTTCAAATCGTTGTTAAATTAACACAATACATATCGGAATCAAATCAAACATGGGTTTGGTCGAAAATAGAAAGTTTGAACCCTTAATAGTTGGATTTGATTACATTACAACTTATAAAGAAAATGAAAAGTGAATGTATATGTTGTTACATGAGTATACGATTTCAAATTCTAGTACCCAAAATAAATAAACTAATAAAGTTGCATCATAGGGTTTTTTAATTTTATCTTTTCTAAATTAATTTGATGGCACATTTTGCAACCTTCTTTCTGAAACAGAGGCGTTAGGCAAGAAAGTAAACTTCTACTTCATAAAGAATCTTCCCAATAATAGACATATGACCTTTACATTTTTTTCCCCTTTACATATTGCAATCTCTATCCACTCATTTAATTTCGATTGTTTTTTTTTCATCTTTTATCATATCATTATTATCAGCATTCTTTTTTTTTTATAACCAGGATGGTTTCCGAGACTTTGGTCCGACTATATTCACCCTAGGTTCGGGATTAACCTTTGTATATGAACCATTTTTTATCCACAAATTACATCTCTCCCCACTGGTGGAATCGAACCCAAAATCTCGATGATGACTTTGTCACCTCTCAACGAATGAGCCACCAACTATTGGGTTATTATCAACATTCTTATTCATTATTCTTCATAAATCCACCAATTATATCTATATAGAATCACATTTTATGGTAAATATATCGTACGGTTTACGCATTCTAATTAATATTATTAGAGAGTGTGAAAGATATGACCGGTTGTATTAATGCAATGATTTCATCACATTATCACATTTCTATTTCTATAAGAGAGTAAGATTAATCAAACATTATATAATGGTTATTATCCAACGAAGGGCAAATATGTCGGAGAATAATTACTTTAATTACACATGCTATGACATATAATGCAGTGTTCTTGTTGATTATTTATGAAAGTATATCGGCCAGTGTTTAAACAAAACTAGTTAGGATTGAACATATATATAAATATACATATATGCATACATATAGGGACCAAATATATTTTATTTTTCTTTTTTTTTAAATAAAAACCAAATATATTTTCTTATACACGCCATTTCTGATTTTATAAAGAAAATACAAATATTCTCAAACCTTTTTTACACATAGGAGTACGAGAAAGGCACACCTCGATCTAAGTAAAACTAGGTCTATTGTGATTCATTTGAGAAAATAAAGTTTAATAAAAAAAGGAAGATCAAACCCAACTCCATGGATGTTGCCACTCATCGTGACACCAATTCTTGAAATCTCCATTTTTACCCACCAAAGTGCCGAAATCATCCATATCCAACAGATCGTTATCCATTGCCAAGAACCCTGTCACCTCCGGTACCTTTCCTCTCCCTCCTCCGCCGCCGCAACTGCCTCCTCCTCCGCCGCCTCCGCCGTTAGGAACAAGAAATCCATCAACTTCTTGACTGACAAAACTCGGAACCAACATACCATCCTTATTGTCCGAGGGACCTTGCAAAGAACTCGTCCGAGAAACATCGTCGTGACCCATCTCCCGGCTCGCCTTTTCTTGTGCTATAAGAAACCTAGACCAAGATCCGGTCGGACATGTGTACTTCAAATCTTGATGATCTTGTAATCCCTGTTGCAAACTCAGCTTCGCCGAATTTGACAGATCCAATCCACCACCACAGGGCGTGTACCCATGAACTTTCTCTTGGTTAAACGAATTGGGTTTGGAAAATAACCAAGGAAGATTGGACCCACATGAAGATACAAACCCGAAATCATATTCTTGACCCAAAAAACACCCGTTGGTTCCACCTTGAGGCCTGTGGCCATGTTCATGTGGAAAATCCATTCTCTCCGACCAAGAACCGATCGACCCACTCGCCCAGTTTTGCACACGAACCGGGTTGGTCTTGTAAGCCCAAGAACCATCAGACCCGTGTCGAGAGAAACACCCATTCTTGCCCTGAAGCTGATCTGGTTGGACCAAGTTGAGCTTGGCGGCTTGTCCGTACAGCTTCTTAGCGGCCTTGTCGTAAGCCATGGCGGCCTCAAAGGAAGTGTCAAAGGTACCGAGCCAAAGCCTCGATCCTCGGTTAGGTTCCCGAATCTCAGCGACCCACTTACCCCAAGTCCTCTGTCTCACACCACGGTATCTACACGTGGCGTTGTCCGGACCACCTTTCCCTCTCATACAACCTTTTCTTGATCTCCCCATGTCCGGTTTCTTGTTGCAGACGGCTTGTGTTCTCTTTATGGTCCGACGTCGCTGCTTGTTCAGTTCCGTGGCTCTGTTCGGACCTTTTCTATGTGTATGAACATTTTTGGGTTGGGGCACAGATTGCATGCGGTGGCATATATATAGGTGTATATATGTATCTATCTTTGTGTATGCGTGTGCATGTATAGTGGAGCATCTATGACTTTGTTAATAAATGTATCGCTCCATGTTACACGAACGGATCCCGACCAAAGTTGACAACTAATGTTACGTTGAAGGCTTCTGCTTCACCTTTATATATATATATCGCAATTTTGATTAGCATTAGGGGGGTAAACCTCAATCTTTGTTAAAGACCGGCCTAAGTATTCATACGATCGAATACATTTGATTAATTTCATATGTTGTTTTTGGTAAATCTTGTGCGTAGTCTATAAAGGAAACAGCTTTGGTTTGAAATATTATGAATTTAAGAGATGATTTTGGAAATAGGATATAATCCTAATTGACGTTTCAACCCACAAAACACCCAAAATTACCCTAAAATCGTTTATATGAAAAACCGAGATATCAATCTTATGGACACTAAATTAATGTGGTTGACAAATCAAAATAATCATTTTGTCCAACAGTCAATATGTGCTTGTTTAGTATTTGACCACCATATTCTCCTACGTATATATTATTTTTTTCATGAACAATTTGATAAATCATCCAATATAAAGTTTTGGGTAATTACATTTGAGAAAGAAAAAACCCCCCCGAATATATTCGCGATGAATCTGAATAACAATTAACATGTTGAACGGGGACACCAAATCATTATGAAAATGACAGGACACGACATTTATCTATCTGTACATAATCTATGTGTACAGATTAAGTTTCTTCTTTTCCTGTGTCTTATTTTATTAATTTACAAGAAAAATATTATTATATATATATATAGTATAAGGATGAAGGGATTTGGTCATACGCAAAGGGGAATGAGTTCCAAAGTAGACGTCGTTTCATGCCACGTGCCAAAACAGGGATGCATGCATTGGAAAACCAAGTGATAATGACACGTGGCTCAACCTCTCGAAATCCTTCGCCCTGAAGCACCTCTTTTTTTTTATATATTTATCTTTTCTTTTGTTTTTTTCCCTCACAGATTCCTTGGTAACATTCGTTTTATTTTATTTTTTTACTTTTATTATGTTTATATCAAGTTTAATTCATGAATACGTCAAATTTTAATACTATGTGGTGTGATTTATTTATTAGAGTGAAATTTAGATACACAATGCGCGTATCATTTAGCGGATAAGAACATGATTTTATACGATTTGAATATTGCATGTGTGTGTATATATATATATATATCATCTTTTACCACAATTTTATCTAAAATTATATTTGTATCAAAACCGTGGTACAAAATAATAATAATTATAGCTAAAATAATCATAAATAAGAATTAATAGACATTAATTGAGGAGGTTGCATGGAGGAGAACAAGTGTGTGAAAGCAATAGGTGAAGCCCGATGAGTGTAGAAACCAGGTGTACGACACTTGTTCTCTGTCTTCTCTCTACTCTCCCTTTTCTTTATGATGAAAGTTTTTGAAAATAAAATAAACTAATAAATATTATATCTTTTTTTGTGAAAGGTTGGAATAAATATTATATCAAATTTTCAACAAAAAAATATTATATCATATTCCCCTGCGTCATGGAATTTATAAACTTGCCTGAAAAAGTGGACCTTAAATTTAGAGAAACTATTTTTGGTATATATATATTCGATCCGCGATTTTTAGTATAAATGTATACCACTTTTTTTTTTTGTAAAATTAAATGTATACTACTATATCGTGCACACTCATATTTAGGGAATGGACTGTCCGAACAGAAGTTGTAACATAAACAGAAGTTTATATATATATATATGGTTATATAATCTTTTTTTCAATTAATTTTCAAAAAAAATTATGATATTGTGGAAGTATTTTAAATATTTGTATTCATTCATAACCAATTTGTCTAGAATATATATGTATGTGTGTGTATATATATATATATATATATATAGAAAGAACTTCGATTCCTCATAATATCAAGCAATAAAATTAATGTAAAAAACTCTAAATTCCTCCAGATTTTGATATTTTATTGGGTTTTATAATGCATAATGTCTGTGTGTGTATATACATAGTTATAATTGAGATGATATATGTAGGCACGCACATATTTGTTGGGCTAACAGAAAAAAAAAAGCTTATCTGGGCTTATAATAATGGAATTTGGGCTTCAAAGTGATCGAATCCGTTTGCATGTTTCTATGACGTCATCATAGAAACATATGACGTTGAGGGAATCAGACAAGCCTGCCTTAACTGTCTCCCACGTAGGCCATCGTCGTCAGTGTGACACGTCATCAAGCGAATGACACGATCGTGCCACGTCATAAATGAGAGGGACCGTCTTATTCCATTTATCATCCACGTAAGCTACACAGATTTGCCAACTTCTCATCCACGTCACATTATAGATTTTTTCTATATTTTTCGAAAAGCGACAAAAGTAAACTTACACATAATCGATATAAGATGTAATTATTTTTCCCGTATTATCAGTTTTTTTGGGTAAATGTATTGTAACAGTTAAACTGGGGAAATTTCTTATTTTAAAAATTTTAAAATTTTGGTCAAATTGTTATATAATACATTTTAATTGTCGTGGACAAGACGAAGAATCTAAAGTTGGGATTCGCGAAAACCGAAAAAAAAAAACTATTTAATATTAATATTTTAAATCCATATTGACCTTCGGATGAACAAATTTATGTATTCCATAGTCGAAAATAGAAGGTCTTATTTAAAATACGTAGACGTGCATGCATGTATACAGACGCGCAATAACCTATGGTCCTTTGTGTGTGAATATGGTAACATGTTAATTTTTTTTACCGGTAATAGTTGGCTCAATTATTCAAATATTTTTTTTGTAAAAAAATAGTAAATCTTGATTACCTTTTATAATTATAGGCATAGCTATGAATTCCACCTATTTCATAATCTGTTACAGATAATGATAATTATAGGCAATACCTTTAGTTTCGGTATTTTTATTTTTAGAATATTTTGTCTCTTTTGCCTCTCTTGGATTGTGATATTGTAACTATGCATAGTTAATTAATCCATTGAATCGGACAAGCATTAAAATATATTTGTTTTGTCCGGTAGTCAAATGCGGAAGTTAAAATCTTTAATAATTTTAAAATATGGGTAAAGTTTTGATGATTCGATTAAAACCATGAAATGCACTATTTAGGAGTCATACCTATTCGCAAGGAAGAAATGAAACAAAATATCATTAATAATTAGAAAGATCACAAGTATTAAGTTCTATCAATTTAATTTATATTTTATTACTGTTTGGTTTACATAAAATATTTTTAAATATTAATTTTTCTTCCAACGTTTTTAATTAATCAAATTTAATTAATTTTAATTGAAAAATTCTCGAATTATATATATAGTAATTGCGCGGGAAATAGCTTTCTTCAAAGCGTATATAGCCCCAAAATCAATGATACTCGATTTAATTAGGTTGTGCGTATGAACACCAAACGAAATAAAGCCACGTGGCATAAAAGGGCAGATCCGAAGTGAGTGCTCCCCCAATTAAGAAACTTGGAGTCCAAAGAAAGAAACAAAAATGACTTAAAAATTGGAATCATGCGGTTTAATTTCATACGATCTGCTGACGAGTTAATTACTTCAAAAAAAATCAACTAACAAATTGATTAGTTCTTAATTAGTACTGTAATGAGTGATTATGTATGTATCCACTACAACTACTACAATACACGCATACTTTTTTTTCTACCATTTGATTTTTTGGTATTTACTGATTTATTTAATTATAAACACACACACATATATATATATATATGTGTGTGTGTGTGTGTGTGTGTTCTTTTTGACAGTCAGACATGATTCAAGATACTAATGCTAGATGGAGATCAAATCTGCTACATGCACTAAAATCAAAATGATTCACCACCAAATCAATCATTTTTATATTCAAGAATCATATATAAACAGTAGTATATATCATCATTAATTATTACATGGTGAGTCCATCATCTAAGTTATCTGTCATTGAAAAACAACCAGATTTGAAGAGTTATTAATTATTAATTAGGCATTTCACTCCAATTATATATAAAAGGTATATATATGTGATATATCATGTGTGTGGTTGTTGTAAAGAGAAAGGGGAGTGGAGGGAGGCAGATGAAAACATTGAAGGAGAGTGTAATAAAAGGGAAGAGAGCTGACAGTTGGGTTGGGTGGGTCTGTTGTTCTTGTCTTTAATGGCTCCTCCTCCTCCTCCCTTTGCTTCTCCTTCAGTTCTCATCCTCCCCCCCCCCCTTTTTTTTCCCCCCAATAAATAATTAATAATTTAAAATTTCCCTACTTTATTATAATATTACATATACTATACATATACATATTCATTCACACTAACATACGTACACTTGTGATTGTGTGTATATACAATATGTATGGATATACTTTTTAGTCTTTTTCTAAAAGGGCACTGAATCAACCACTGGCTGACCTCCAATTCAATGTACATACACACACACACACATATATATATATAGATTCAATATTTATATTGTGTATATACACGTATATGAAACCGATGATGCAGGGCAAAGCGTGATTTGATGATCTTGAAAGTCTCATTTTGCTTTTGCTTCTCTCCGTTTCTGTATTTAACTTCATAATTTCCTATACACCCATCTATCTTCTTCCCTATCTAACACCACTGCAGAGAGAGAGAGAGAGAGAGAGAGAGAGAGAGAGAGAGAGAGAGAGAGAGGGAGGTCACTTTCTCTGCTCACTCGTCTCAAGAATCTGGGTTTTGGGATTTTATTGAATCTCTTTCCATTTCTTGAAATGGTCCAATCTCCGTAGTGTTCCCTTTTGATCTCTCTGGGCACTGAAAGATATAAAAAACTATACAAAGATGGAAGTTTTCGCAACGAAGACAAGATGGGTCTGCAGCAATAACATCACCCAAGTTGTTCATATTCTTCTTCTTCTTCTTCTTCTTCTTCTTCTTAGTCTCTTTGTGAACCCGAGGGTTACTTGTGTCTACGCCGTGAACTACACAAAGTACAGACAAGTTAGCAGTTTGAGACTCGAGAGGATCCATGAGCACTTGAACAACATCAACAAGCCTCCTGTCCTAACCATTCAGGTATTCCAATCATATATCTATGATTCTATATATATGTATGTATTTAATTATACATGCTAATGTGTATATGTGTATTGCGGAATCATTCTCCCATTATCATCATATAATAAGCATACGTGTAAAATGCGCTATGTACTTTCTACTATACAGAAAAAAATGATCAATCTATATATAATCATATATAATTCGGCTCGACCATACATCGTAAAATCAGGTTATTGAATTGATTAGTCTCGAGATCAAACTTCTGAACTTTGTCACTATTAAAAATCGTGTGTGTGTGTATATATATATAGAATAAGAATGGTGTTGTGAAAATAACTTGGGTGCAGAGTGCGGATGGAGACATTATAGATTGTGTGCATAAGAGAAAGCAACCTGCTTTCGATCACCCTCTCTTACACCATCACAAGATTCAGGTTCGGACCTCCTAACACCATTTAATTCAGCCTATACCCATATGCACTTCCTTAATTAAATTTAAATTAAAGTAATATTAGTTCTAATTCGTTCTTCGCATTATATAAAAACGTAACAATGTTTTAATCAGACAATATATATGCCATATGCCACGCTATTCTCAAAAATCATTTTGCATAATTAGTGAAACGTACGATTACAATCATTTTTACATAGTTATAAAATCATTGATGTAACAACAAAACAATTGGATTTTTATGTAATAGATGATAACCTACATTATTTGTCTATAATGTTATAGTTTTTTTACAATCATTTTAGTTTTTTTAATACTTCATATTTAAAATTCAAAAAATGAATAGTATAAGTTTAAAAATTTTAATTTGTTATTTTTAAGTATGTAATAAATGTGTAGAAAGCGCCGTCAAAAATGCCGAAGATGAGAGAGAAGGAGAGACGAGCTAACGTAACGGAAGGTGCATGGCAAATGTGGCACGTGAACGTGACAAGGTGTCCGAAGGGTACTGTTCCCATACGACGCAGCACACTGCATGATGTTCTCAGAGCCAACTCTTTGTTTGACTTTGGCAAGAAGTCCCGTAGAGTTGACCTTAATCGACGGTCACAAATCTCCGACGTCATCGGCACCAACGGACATGAGGTATATCTGAATCCGATCTCCCTTTTTATTTTAAATATATATATATATATATATATATTAAAATGTGTTGTTTCAATATGTTTATATATGTAGATGATATTTACCGTATAATCTCAAATTCTTTTTTTTTTATTACTTTAATCTGAATGCACATGTATAATATATATATATATATATGTAGTACACACACAAAATTAGGCACTTGCTGTTAAATTAAGTAAAATCAATTTCATTTAAAATATATTCTATTGAAAAAATCAATATCTCAAAATTTAAATGAACAATATGTTACTACTTAAGAAGCACATTAACTTGTCTGAGTTTGTCAACTGCATGTGTGCGTGTGTGTCTAGATCCTTCGTTCATTCAAAGTATGGTCCCCGTTTGTCCTTAAAAAATTGTCGTATAAATTAAAAAAAAAACATAAGCATTTAATAGCTATTAATATATGGTCGCATTACATTAAATCTTGAAATGATGGAATCTTTATATAAAAAAATAAAATAAATTAATAGTTTAGTCTATCACGAGGTTAATTATACAACGACTGTATTATGTAATCACCAGATATATAAATAAAATAATTCTCTAAACAACAACAACATTATATGTTGGAATTTTTTATAAAAAAAAAACTCAAGTTTGGCTTTTCTAGAAATGATAATATGAGCAACATGTCATATATTTATAATAAGCATGTAATGTAATGGACGTATGCGTCTATATATATATTGGTTAGGATGGAATATATTCCTTATTCTACCTAATAAAATTTGTAACTAAAATATGGTTTAATATAGGGAAAATGACATTTTCCTACACCAACTTTGCAAAATGTGACCTTTTCCTACACGAATTTTTAATTTGACAAAAAACTACACCAAATTATCAAATGTGCCAAATTGATACACGAACTACACGATTTAACTGCAATTTCCTACACAATCCGAAAACGGTGTTAAGTGTCTGTTAACCGCTGACGTGGCATGTCACGTGGCGGCTGACGTGGCACGCCACATAGATTTTTTTTGCCACATCAGCATGCCACGTCATATTTTTTAAAAAATTTCGAAAAATATGAAAAAAAATCGATTTTTTTTAAATTTAAAATAAAATAAATAAATAGCAATATATATATATA